TCCCTCCCCGCTCACCTGGCGCCGGGCGCGCCGCAGCTCCCGCAGCTCCAGCCCCCGCCCGGGGCCGCCCCGCAGGTACCGCAGGTACCCCACGGCCAAAGCCGCGGCCCGGGCGGCCGGGAAATGGCTCGGAGGCAGCTCCATGAGCCACAGAACCGCTTCCTCCTCCCGCAGGAAGCGCCCGGGCGGGGCGGGAGCAGGAGCAGGAGCGGGCGGGGCGGGCACGGAGCGCGGCACGGAGCAGCGCATCCCTCCGGACCGACTCGAACAGCGTTTGAAACAGCCTTAGGGGCGATATCGGGAACAAATCCTTCCCTAGGAGAGTGGGGAGGCCCTGGCACAGGTTTTCCTGGGAATTGGTGGCTGCTCCATCTCTGGAAGCGTTCATGGCCAGGTTGGACATGGCTTGCAGCAGCCTTGGAGAGCAGAAAGCATCCCTGACTGTGGAATTATTTAAAACTCCCTTCCAACSCAAACCAGTCTGTAATTATCTGAGAAAGGGAATGTTTTCCATAGAAAGCTGTGGTTTGTGTCATGAGTAACCTGGTTTTGGGGGATTGTTTGGGTTTAGGTTTGAGTTTACCCACAAGAAGCAGTCGGGAGGAGCAGGCCAGTACGGCAAAGTGATYGGAGTGCTGGAGCCCCTGGATCCAGAGGACTTCACCAAACTGGAGTTTGAGGACAGAACCATTGGCACAAATATTCCCAAACAGTTYGTGCCTGCTGTGGAAAAGGTACAAACCTTTGTGTATAATGTAGAAAATCCTGATTGTTGGTGTTTCCTGGGATACCATCCACCTTTGCTGTGCCTGCCTTGCCCCAGCAAAGGAGGCTTTTCCCAGTGCTCCAGCAGGATCACTCTGGTGGGGTTTTACCTCATKCCCTGCATTCCTGRGGTTTCCAGTTCGTTTGGAAGCTGYTSTGTGTTTCCTTTGGTGSTGGCTGCTGGCTCTGTTTCCCTTGCAGTCCCTCCTTTTCTCACACTCAGAGCCTCCTGCTCAAGCTGCTTTTTCCCGGCCTCTTCTGCTCCTGGTTGTGGCCCCACAATTCTCCTCCCAACCCCAAAAAWTGTGACTTTTTCTGTGCCTACTGAGGCCAGTTATGGAGGAAACTGGAATTAAGCTGCATTTCCTGCCTCAATTCCCAAATTCTCTTTCTTTACCCTCCCCTGTGACTGCTGCTCTGTATAATTTACCAATTAACCTATCATTATTCTTTCTCTTTTCCAYGATGCAGCACTTAAAGATTTTTGCCAAATCCTAAAAAAAAACATGAAGTCTTAAAGGAATCTTGTTCTTGAGGCAAAAACTCTTTCCACACAGAGCATTTTTGGGGGTTTGGCCATAGAATCCTGAGTTTTCCTTGTCCTTAGCTCGCTCTGTGATTTGTGTTTGTAAAATGTGTTGGAATCAAACGGAGGTGCCAAAGGCTGACARTGCAGAGGTGCAGATTCCTGCAGGTGATTTTGAGCTGTCCCTCACAGGGGTTTCGAGAAGCCTGTGAGAAGGGGTTGGTGTCAGGACACAGGATCTCCGGAGTGCGCTTCGTGCTGGAGGATGGGGCCCATCACATGGTGGACTCCAACGAGATCTCCTTCATCAGGGCAGGAGAGGGAGCCCTGAAACAAGGTACAGGCTGCTCCTTGGGATGGGTCCTGCTGGCTGGGGTATCTGTCCATCCATCCATCCAACCATCCCTGATCCATCCCTATCCATCCATCCATCCCTCCATCCCTCCATCCCTCCATCCATCCCATACTTACATGGAGCAGAATATGAAATCTGTACAAGAGCTGATAGAATTTCTGAGGGATACACACTAATTCCTGTGGTTGTGTGAAGGAAATCCTGTTCTCCTGGAATTCAGTACAGCAACACCAACAGCTTCACCCTTACAGGGTCGGGAGAGAATATTTGGTCAAACTGGGCCTTTTTCAGGAGAAAATCTTTTGCTGAAGGAATTTTTTAGGAGAATTTTTTTTTGCTAAATAATTTTTTTAGGAATTTTAAAATTYTTTTTAGGAGAAATTCTTTTGCTGAAGGTGAGTTAAACACTGGAAGGGGCTGCCCAGGGAAGYGGTGGAGTCACCATCCCTGGAGGTGCTCAAACCACATGTGCCTGTGGCATTTTGTGCTATGGTTTAGTGGGCACAGTGCTATTCAAGGTTGCTCTTGATGATCCTGGAGGTCTTTCTGGGATTATGGCTTCAGGAACAGAAGGAGCTGCAATTCCATTAGGTGATGATGGTTTTCCCTCAGCAATGTAATAAACACCCAGCCATGTTTAGTAACCATGAAGCATTTTCTGCAGTGCAGGGGAGCACCTGGATTGCAGCAGGTTCTAATTATGGATTATTCCCTCCTCCCCAGCCATGGAGAACGCCTCAGTGAGGATCCTGGAGCCCGTCATGGCCGTGGAGGTGATGGCTCCCACCGAGTTCCAGGGAGCGGTGATTGCCGGGATCAACCGGCGCCACGGGGTCATCACGGGCCAGGACGGCTCCGAGGGATACTTCACCCTCTATGCTGAGGTCTGTGGGGCTCACTGCTCCTCTGCTTGCCTTTCCTTCACTCCAGCACTGTTTTTATGGATAAATTTGTAGCCAGATTGACACATCTTCAGTGTTCCCTCTTCTCTGTCCCTCCTGTTTCTTGGTTTTTATGGATAAATTTGTAGCCAGATTGACACATCTTCAATGTTCCCTCTTCTCTGTCCCTCCTGTTCTTCAGTTTTTATGGATAAATTTGTAGCCAGATTGACACAACTTCAATGCTCCCTCTTCTCTGTCCCTCCTGTTCCTCGGTTTTATGGATAAATTTATAGCCAGATTGACACATCTTCAATGCTCCCTCTTTTCTGTCCCTCCATGGGTTTTCCTGGTGGGTGATGGGCTCAGGACAAACCCCACACTGTGGTCCTTCTGCTTTCCAAGTTGTCCTTGGAGGGATGTCTGGAGACCCCTCAAACCTTGCTGGTTGGCTCMTCACTGAATTTGGGATATTCCGGTTCCTGGTGCACTCAAACTCCCAGATTTTTGAGGTTTCTTGCTGAAAACACATTGCAAATATAAATTAATTAAAATAACAGATACTTTATAACAACAGATCATTAAATCAGAACTATTTACAGGCAGCACTATGTCATAACTGGGATTATTATTAGATGATAGTCCAAAATTGATGGAAAGAACACCTTATGACAAGCAAATATGTTTGGATTTTAGGTGCCTCTGAATGATATGTTTGGATATGCCACTGAGCTGAGGTCTTGCACAGAGGTGAGTCCTCCAGGTCCCTTTTGCTAAAATGTATTTAATTTTGTAAATTTGGGTTAATGGGATCATCATATCCGTAGCACCTGCAGCAGGGAGTGAGAACAAATCAAAGCAGAGCAATGCAATTCCTGGCCAAACAATTCTCCCATCCTTGAGGAGTTTTGTTTGGGTGGRATTGTGAAGGATCACTGGGGTTATTTCAGCTCAGCAGGGTTGCACATGGCCCATCCTCACTTTCACTCTTCCCAACCCTGCAGGGAAAAGGGGAATATACYATGGAATACTCCAAATACCAGCCGTGTTCAGCCAGCACTCAGGAAGAAATCATCAACAAATACCTGGAAGCCACGGGGAGACTTCCTGCCAAAAAGGGCAAAGCCAAGAGCTGATGGGGATTCCTCTGGAGTCCCCTGGACAGTTTTGCACAATCTTCTCCAACAGCTCCCTCTTCCAAGGCATGGAAGCAGCCCAGGCTGGCTGGGTAAGGTGGGCTCCAGTGGGATTTGGACTTGGAATTTTATCACAAAACTTTTTCTCTGTGGTGTTGCCAAAAACACCAGGGGATCACCATGGAAGTGCTCACGTGTAAATGCTGCTGTAACAAAATAGATGTTAAAACATGGCTGATGATTTGGCTTGARATTTGTCTTAATTAAGATCTATTAAAATAATTATATTTTTTACTTGATACCTCATTATTTTGTAATTAGGTTAGCTCCTGKTTTGGGAATGTTAAGCCAGGTGAGAGCTGCTGGACAGGCATGGGGAGTGGGGCATCACTTGGTGCTCCARATTCCTTCCAGGGAACAGATGGGATTTTCCCCTCCAAATCCTTTGGAAATGGCACGGGATCCTCCAAAAAGCAACTGGGCAAAGCAACTGGTTTGTCACCAAATCCACTTTCACTGGTGGCACAAGGATGGAGCAGAGCTGACAGGAGTTTTGGTATGAATTGAATCTTCCCAAAGCTGGGAACAAYATGAAATTACTGTGTGGGGTTGGATTTAATGGGCTTGGTGGTGTGGATTCGTGGCATGGGCTTGGCTTTTGGCTCTTGGGTTAGAAAACCAAACCAAAGATCCCTTTTCCCAGAATCTCCCAATCCAGAGGATGTTAGAAAATCAAACCCAAATTCCCCTTTCCCAGAATCTCCCAATCCAGAGGCTGTGTTGCAGCTCATGCTCAGCTCAGGAATCAGCTGACTTTGCTGACTCACAGCAAAGACAAAACAAGGGGGTTAGGTGAGAAGATATTCCCATAATTCTGCATTTTTCATCATTCCCAGAATGTCCATGTTGAATTCTCTGCCCTCCTCAGCTGGAAAATGTTTTTGCAGATTCCAGTAACCAGGGAGTGAGGTTCCAGTTCAAACCCAGTGACATTCCTGGCACGGCACTGGGGTTGATGCTTCCCAGACAGGAACAACTGGAGCAGCCAGGCTGCTGCTCCTCATGGAAAAACTGGGAAAATGATTTATGGAAACCTTGGGAAAGGATTGGTCAGGGCCTGGAGCTGCTCTGGGATCCCAGGCCAGTTGTGGTGTATCCATGCAGTGCTGCCTTGGGAAAAGTCCACGAGTGCATTCCCTTTTTGGGAATGCTCAGCTGGAATTCATTTCCAGAAAAGCCCTGCAGGTCCTCAGCCATTTGGAAGATTTCTGAAACAAGCAGATGTAGTGCTTTTCCCAAAATTTGGAGGTGAACGCAAGACAGAAACAGGCTGGGTGTGATTTTATTTGTAGTTATGGGGTTTATATTTGTATTTATGGGGTTTATATTTATGGGGTTTCTATTATGTTTAGTTGTGATGTGAATTCTGCCAGATGTGCTGGTTCTCAACAGAACTGGAAAAGAAACAAACCCTAAGAGTTTTGCTGTATGATTTGAGGTTTTAGGCTGAAACCTTGGCCTAAAAGCAGCTGCAGGAAACTTTGCTGTAGAATTCCAAGAGCTTTGCTTCTTATCCAGAAGTTCCTCTGGAGTTCCWTAATTGCTGTAAATTGTGAGCAGCCAGTTCCACCACCCTGGTGACTGGGAAGTGCCTGATCATCTGTTCCAGCTCTGCAGGGCAGTGGCAAAAAAAAAGGTAAGGAGACAAAACCAGAGCCCCAAAGTGCCAAATCCATCCTATTTTCTTGGCCTAATTGCAGAAAATATTTTAATCACCAGCTTTTTAAGGAAATGCTGAAACTCCCAACATTTGGGAAGTTGACATCACCCAGCCTAAATAAATAGATYCAGGGAAAGCTGGTGTGTGAAATGCCTGAACTGTTGTTCCCAGTTACAGCTCAAGGATTGTGAAAACCACCCCAAGTTAAACAGAAGAGCCATCCTAGAGCCTGTTTTCCTCAGGAAGGTGATGTTCTTGGGAAGGATTTCATTTATCCTGGCACAAATCTGGCTAATGGGAGAAAAAAAAGATGAGTTTGGGACAGTTTGGTACAATCCCAGAGAGCAGAGGTGAGACAGTGGTGGCTCTGCTGGAAATTCAGCTGGAGAATTTGGTGGAAAGGACAAAGCCATGACTTTGTGGTTTAGGATGGGACAGGACGTGGCAGGAAAAACAGAAGAGCTGTTCYCAAACATGGGAATTCATCCTTCTGAGGCCTCCTTGGCTCTGCAGCTCTGGTTTGGTTCAGGGTAAAAKCAAAGGTAGAAATTTGGGCTCCAGCAGCAGCAGAAAGAAAACCCAGCCTCGACCCTGAGTGATGGTATTTGGTTTATTGGAGATGAGAGTTATAAAAATCAGCACGATTCTAGGCCAAAAAGTGACAAAAATTAGAAGGCAAATATTTCTTAGTGACAGATTACCACTTTTCTCACAATTTTAATCCAAATATATTAACTTTGTTTACAAACTCTTAAGTAACAGTTAATTAGTGACATCAAATCAACTGGTGTATGTTGATCTGGGTGTGTATGGATTTGGAGTAGCAGAGATTTTAGGCAGAGATGTAGAACTTGAATCTTGCAGCTGGAGGAGTGACAGGAATGAATTTTGGCACAGAACACATCAGTGAAAGCATTCCCATTCACTGACTTGCATGGAAAAATGATCCCAGCTCCAGGTCTGTTAGCACGAGGATTTGCTCACTGGATCCATATCCGTAAAACCGAGGATTTCCCTTAAAAATTYGCTCCCTTTTCAGCTGAAGGCCCAGCAGCTGATCCTGATTCTGCTCCAGATGCCTCCTCCATGCTGTGGCTCTCAGAAGCACAGAAGTGTTTCACTTTCAGAGGGTGCCCAGGGAGCCACGTCAGGCGCATGTGACAGGAAATGATTTCCTGGAGAAGGGATTGCAAAGCACACAGATGGGATCATCTTTATGGTTTCCATCTCCTGCTGGAAGGAGGGGTTACCCACGTGCACCTCCTTACCTGGGTTGGCATTTCATGCAGCAGGACAGTGTAGTCAAACTCAACAAAATCATCTTTCCTGATCTGGGCAGGTACAAAAGAGAAAAGATTACCAAGAGCAGTTTTATAGTGTGGAACTGTAACATCTGCTCTGATTCACTTGAGTTTGCTCAGGGAAGGGGGAGAGCAGRGCTCCATGGAGTGAGATGAGCTCTGATCATGGAATTGGAAGCATAGAGGAGAAAGCCCTGGGATTTGGGGGATCCCCCCATCAGAGCAGTGCTCCCYTCCTGCCCCACTCACCCACTGCTTCACAGATTTCACTTGGGCCAGGAAGTAGCTCAAGGTCTCCGTGGACTTTTCCCACATGATGGAGCTGCTGCCAGCCACAGCCAGAGCCCACACAGGCTCCAGGGCAGGCTCAATGTTGCCATAGCTGTCTGCAAGGCATGGAGAAAGAGAAAATTAGATTAATTCTGGCTGCTCAGCAGAAAAGTGATGAACCTCAGTGTGGTTCTGCCTGGCTCAGCACCTTTCCTGGGAGGGACTCTTCCCTTGGATGTGTCACAGGGAAGAGGGAGGAGGATGATGCTAAACCTGCAGTCCCAGTGAGGTATGAAAGTGTGGCAGAGCTGACATTGCCAAGGGACACCATTCCCAGGGTGAGAAACCCAAAATCCACAGCAATGGGAGTCCTTACTGAGCTGGGAGAAAAKATGGGATTTTTCCAGGATGGAAAAATTGTTTTAATCATCCCCAGTGATTTCCAGCCACAACTGGGGAGATGTGGGTTAGGGCACTTGTTATTCCTGGAGGACATTCTGCATTTACTTGAGTTAAAAATGGTGTGGACTTGCTTTTAAACCCAAACCACCCTCACAGGATGGTGCTGCCAGTGGTAAATCCAGAGGGGCTTTGTTCTCCTAAAAATCCCTGGGGAGCTGCGATTGTTTTGGCAGCAGTCAATACTGTGTCTCCTTTCCAAATGCTCTATTTGTTTTGCTCTTTAAGATAAAATGAAATACAGGTGAATATTTGGAGGAATATACCTGGAATATTGTTCCCAGTGATTGGTTTGGTTTGGTGCCTGATCCTTTGGTAAAGTCTGTTGTCCTCTTCCTGAATTTCCTTCTGGTCTTTGGTGTGGGAGCACTGGATGCTGACAACAGGAGGAGATCTTTTCTTTGGATACAGCACTGTAGCCAGGCAGCTCCCAGCATTCTCCTGTCAAGGGAGAGTTTAAATCTTTCATAAAGATTTTATTTACCAGCAACTCMTTGTATGAAGCTGTTCAGGGGTTAGGAAAGTGTCAAGAAGGATTTTCTTTTTTTTTTCAGGAAAGAGTTTAAAACCACAAGGCTAAAGGGATTTAACATAAGTTTTTAATTAATGCTTGTCCTGCTTTCAGGACATGACAATGCTCTAAGTCATCTCRGAAATGTGTTTGTGAGAGCTCAGAAAATAACATTAATTGATAACAGGGACTTCATTGTATCAGCCTTGACACAAAAATCATGTAAGGTTTCATAGTAAGTTCTGAAAATCATTTGGATTCCACAAAAYGTGTGTGTGTGAAGGAAAAGCACAGCAAAGTGCTGCTGACAACTGGGACAGAGAGAATGGAGGGGGTTTTAACTGGAAAGAACATGGAGCTGTCAACTCCTGATCCTCATTTTGGGGTGTGGCCAGCAGGATAACGAGGATCTCAGAGGGATAACGAGGACCACAGAGGGATAACGAGGACCACAGAGGGATAATGAGGACCACAGAGGGATAATGAGGACCACACTGTCACTGAGCCACAGTGCAGTTCCATTCAGGCCCTTGGTTGCCTCGAGTGACTTCAGCAAGAAATCCCTGAGGATTGATGATCACTCAGGTGAGCCTCGGAGCAGGGACGGGCAGGGAGAGCAGGAAAGCTTTCCCATTGTGGAAGATCCATTTAGGACAGAGGGGTCCTGGTTTTGGAGCTGTTGGAGTTGATTTAACACCCATTTGGAGCAGCAGGAACTCACCCCAGTTCTGTAGTCCTCAGTGCTGAACTGCAGGTAATACTTGTGGCCAGACTCTGGGATGTCCTGGAAGACAGAAGATGGAGCCAGCAGTGGAATTAAAGCCTTTTGTGCTGCAAGAAGCACTCAGGAGAGAATGTCACTTCTGAAATTCCCAGTTTTGAGTGTGACAGCACGGATTTTTAACCTTCCTTGGTTTTTAAATACAGTTCTGGTTGTTTGCTGCTTTTTGCAGATTGGGACCCAAAGCTAACCTGGGTGTGTTATTTATCTAACCTCGAGCCTTCCTGTTCCCAGCACACTTTTCCCCAGGAAGTTTATTAAGGGTAGAAGTTTCATACCCACAGCAGATCCTCAGCCCAGCACCTGCCTGTGGTACCTACACAGAGTTGGAAAATGCAGGTAGAATTAGAAATTGTTTTAATCACTTGCTGTGCTTTTATAGAATCCCCTCCTGGAGCTTTAGGATGAGGCAAGTCCAGTGTGGAGCCAAATCTCACCATGAAGGAGGTGGAGGAAACACAGRGGATGAGCTCAGACTTTGATGATTTCTTTCTTCTCTGCATCCTCCTCCTCCCCTTTTGCCCTTTTTTGTGCACTGCCTAAACTATTGTCCTCCAAGTGACAAAGTGACACGGGGCAGAATGGTAAATACTGACCTTCTGAAATGCAGGATCACCAAAGAAGCAGTAATTAAAAWGAAATTAAGTTAAGAAGGGTTCTAATCTCTTGCAATCACCACATTTAAGTCTAAGTTTCTAATTGCTGTAAATCTACCCMAGAGGTGTTATTGCTAATCTTAATTGTATTCAATTTGGGGATTTTTACAGTGACGCAGACTTTTTTTTTTAATGCTATCAGTTCTGCAGATGAGAGAAGCTGAAACAGTCAGCAGGACTTTTCAAAGAGCACAGAATTCTGTGTTTCTGTGGGGTTTGAAGCAGAGATTTTCTCTTCATTTACACCTCCTCCCTCCCAGTACTGCGAGTAGCTACTACCACTCTACTACTGCTGCCTAGAAAGCTTCCAAGTGGTGCTACAGAGCTAAAACAAATATTTAGCCTGGTGTGAGCACCTGAGGCTTCCTGAGCTCACCAAGGAGAAGGGAGAAGCTCCAATTGTCATRAAATAATTGTAAATGTATAAAAGTCTTTTTAATCTTGAAGGAAAACTTTTTTTTTTCCTGTTATTAATTCCCACTCTCATCCAAAAATGCTGTAAATCAGTCCCAGAGTGTGAGTTGATCAGAGCCCAGGGATATCTGACAACCCCCAGGGAAGCAGCCAAAGATAAAAGCGTCCAAAACGAGAAGAAAACAAGTGAGTAATTCATTTTTCCACTCAATATCTGGGTCACRGGATTCTTTTACTTCTGGGCTCCAGATTACTGCAGTTTTCCTGACAGATTTTTCATCCTGGAAAGCCCAAAGCAGCAATTTCAGAGCAGCTTCATTCCAGGCCCCAAGGAATCMGTTTACAAGCAGTTTACTATCAGTTTACAACCAGTTCACAATCAGTTTGCACTTCCCTCACTCCCCACAGGCAGGGAAAGGGAGGATCCCTCTCTCTCCCCRTGCTGCAGGATGTTTCCATCTCTTCCCCTCTCTGTTTCCCCACCWGGATTTCTCCCCTGGGATCAGTTTCTCCCTGGATCACTGAAAAGGTGGGAAGGAGTAAGAGCTGTCCCTGTCCCCACCCGAATGTGGGGCCCTGACTGTTGGGAATAAGTAGAAAACTTAATTTACTTCTAATATTAAGAGCAGAGTTGTGGTACTGCACTGTTTGTGCCCAGGTGAGGCTGTGACGAGAAATATTCACTGAGAAAATTGGATTTTCTGGTCCACTTTAAGCAAATTTAGCTGCAGTTTAGCCACAGGGTTACCTGACCTTTCCCCTTCACCTCCCTAATCCTAAATTAGGATTTCCCTGGGATGGGAAACTGCTCCATCAGTGTTTGGAAATATTTCCAGCTTCCCTTTAAACTCTGGGATCTTCAGCTGGCACAAACCTTTTCTCTTATCAAAAATGTATTTTCAAGGGCAGCTGCCAACATCCCAGGAGCTGCTGTTTCCTAGAAGATCCTCACTCAAGAAAAAAGAAGGAACAACACAAAGCCACCTGCATCCAACAGYAAGGTAAGGATTATTCCTTGTTTGGAATTTTGTTGCCAGGAGAGAAAAACCCTGGAGTGTCATTTTACCTGAACTTCAAAGATCCTTCCCATCTAAGAGAATTTGCAGACTGGGGACTGTCTCCAGTCCTGTTTCCAATTACCAGTTTCACCAGCTAGTGGGCTAATAAAGTTRGTATTAAATTACAATGCTCATTATTAAATTCCATGAAAAAAATTATCGTGATTTTATGAGATCCAGTAATAGAGTAACCAATAGGAAATTAGCCCTCTTAAAAAAAAAATTTAATCCAGACAAACAAAAAAAACTCCAACATTTCTGCCTCTTGCCTTCACCTCATAGAGCACATTCCTTCCAGGAAATTCTTTTCATTTTTTTCCAGGGGAGGACAGGAAAGRAGGAAGTGCCCGCTTCTAGTGCATTTCTCCTCTTGTTTTCACAGAGTGTGCAAAAAAAAAATAAAAAGGGAAATAAACTGCAGAGAGTGGTTCCAGGGAGCTCCTACAGCATACAGCACCGTGAGGAAGTCAGGAGTTTCACTTCTCTGTAATGAACCARTTCTTTTCCTTCCTGTATCAGGAGGCAGGTGGCTGATAGAACATGGAAAAATCCCCTTCCCTCCCCACAAATATTCACTTATTTTTCAGACAGGCACTGGTATTTACATATGAAAATATAGACATATAGACATATGCAAAGTGCCCAGGAAATACAGAAGGAGCACTTGTACTTTCGGAGAGTAAGAAATGGCACAGTAAATCCCTGTCAGAGGTGTCTGCAGCAATTCCACAGGAAAATTCCCATGTCCCATGAGCACTGCCATGCTCTGCACTTCATGGTCTATATAAAATAAGGGCTGCATTAGTGCATCCTCAATATTTCTGGTTGGTTTGGATATGGTTGGTGTGGGATAKTCTTTCTGAATGGGGAGGTTGAATAATGCATCCTCTTATTCAGGTTTAGGAGTGAGGATCTGAATTGCACAGGACAGGTGGTGGAAGATCTCMAGATCCTGGAAAGGATCCTGTGGAATCCAATGCTGCCTTTGGCACCCCAGACTGGGAATCCAGAGCGAGCAGCCCTTGCTTTGGGAGCTGCCCGGCAGCACGGCTGGGTTTMAATCCCATCCCTCGGCTCTCCAGGAAGGCGATGCATTCCTTCCAGGATCTACAGCCCCGGACAAACATTCCCCACAAGTTTTTGCCTGATCTTGTGCTTTCAGAAACTGAACAAGCTGTAAAAAAGCCCCAAACCTGGAGGAGGAGAAGCGCTGTACCCYGAGCATCCCTGGAAGCTCCCCGTGATGGGAAGGCTCTGCCCCGGTAGCTGCTCCTCTCTGGGACACCTGTCACCTCAATTCCCCGTGATTTTTGGAAGATTAAGGTATATTTTCTCATGRGAACTGTATCGCCTTCAGATAAAGTTCGTGATCTGAGGGAGGGACCGTGGGACAACCATTCTTGAGGAGACCCCATGAGGAAAGAGGTTTTGGGACAGCGGTCCCTGAGGAGACCCGGGTGTCCCTGAGGATGGGATGGTGGAGAGGAGTCAGGTGCCCCCTGAGGAAAGAAAGATGGCACAGTGGTCCCGGAGGGGACCCGGGTGTCCCTGAGGATGGGATGGTGGGACAGCAGCCCTGGTGGGGACTCAGGTGTCCCCTGAGGAAAGGAAGATGGGACGGTGGTCCCTGAAGAGACCCGGGTGTCCCTGAGGAAAGGAAGATGGGACAGCGGTCCCTGAGGAGACCCGGGTGTCCCTGAGGATGGGATGGTGGAGAGGAGTCAGGTGCCCCCTGAGGAAAGAAAGATGGCACAGCGGTCCCTGAAGAGACCCGGGTGTCCCTGAGGAAAGGAAGATGGGACAGCGGTCCCGAAGGGGACCCGGGTGTCCCTGAGGAAAGGAAGATGGGACAGCGGTCCCGAAGGGGACCCGGGTGTCCCTGAAGATGGGGCAGCGGCTCCGGAGCGATGCGGGAAGGCGGCCGGTGCCCGGCGTGGGAACGCGCTAAACTCAGTTCTACCTAACAATAACAACACAATAATTACTGTTAACTGCACCCTCCCCGGCGTCCCTTTACACCTTACCTTCAGCGTCGCYTTGCGGACCTGCCCGAGCGCCCGGAGGCCGCCCAGCGATGCCGCCTGGAAGTTGCGGTAGTGCAGAGCCACCCGCGCCGCCGCCGCGGCCGAGCGGCTGCCGGGCTCCAGCTCCTGCCCCGCGCCCGGCGCCGCCGCGCTGCCGCCCGGGAGCACGAGCAGCAGGACGAGGAAAGCGGGCGGCGAGGCGCGGAGCCCCGGCAGCGAGCGGAGCCCCGGCATGGTGCGGCACTGGGGCGGGCTCGGCCGAGCTCCGGTACAAATAGCGGGGCCCGGCCCGCCGCTCCCGCCCGCCCTCCGCCCGCTGCCAGCGCCCGCCGAACCGCCCGGCCCTCAGCCCTCCCACCTGCCAGCCGGGGGGGCGAGGGACACGGCTGAGGGACCGGGGAGTGAGGGACACGGCTGAGGGACCGGGGAGTGAGGGACATGGGGGGTGAGGGACCGGGGGGCGAGGGATCGGGGACTGAGGGACATGGCTGAGGGACCGGGGGGTGAGGGACATGGGGGGTGAGGGACATGGCTGAGGGATCGGGGACTGAGGGACATGGGTGAGGGACATGGCTGAGGGACCGGGGGACTGAGGGACATGGCTCAGGAACATGGTTGAGGGGACCAGGGGGCTGAGGGGACCGAGGGGACTAAAGGGGACCGAGGGGACTCAGGAGCTTGAGGGAGCCGGGACGTTATGGGGACCCAGGAGCTTGAAGATGCTGGGAGGACTTGAAAGAGATCAGGGGTATTGAAGGGAACGGGGGAAATTGAAGGGAACCAGACGGGCTTGAGGGGGATGAGGTTCCGAAGGGAGTCAGGGAAATTTGAGGAGTGTCAGGTACTGAGGGGAGCCGGGGAAATTTGAGGGGGACCAGGAAAATTTGAGGGGGATGAGGTTCCCAGTGGAGTCAGGAAAATTTGAAGAGTGTCAGGTACTGAGGGGAACCTGGGGAATTTGAGGGGGACCAGGGRTTCTGAGAGGAACCACAAGGATTTGAGGGGGACTGAGGACTTGGAGGGGAGCCAGGGATTCTAAGGGGAGCCGGGGGAATTGAGGGGAGCCAGAGGGGCTAGAGGGGGACCAGGCATTCTCGGGGGTCCAAGGAGGATTTGGGGGGTTCCAGAGTCCTAAAGAAAGCAAGGGGGACTTGAGGGGGACCRGGGGTTCTGAGAGGAGATGAGGGGGCTTGAGGGGGGTGTGGGTTCTCCTGGGAGCCAGGGGTTCTTGAGAGATGCCAGGACTTGAGAGGAATTGGGGGATCTGAGGGGATCCAGGGACACTTAAGGGGTCACAGGAGTTGTCTGAAGGGAGCCTGCAGCTCCAGCCAGATGTGTGATCCTGMCACCAATCAGAGCAAACACGGGCAATGGCTGGAAAAACGCAGTTAGCTCCTTCTCAGAGTTACCACAACTCAACRCCTCCCAAAACTGCAGAGCCTCGCRCAGCCCGAGACATGCTTTGCCTGGGACACAGCTGAAATATTACAAAAATTGTGCACAGGAAGCAGAGGAGAACATTCATCTCTGAAATAAATCTCACTTAGGGAAGTTTTTGGAACCAGTATAGTCATGTCTTGGTAACATGAAGAAAATCAACTGAGAAAGCAGCCAGAKTCCCTTAAGATGATTTTTGGGATGCAAGTGGGCTTGTTGCCTTGCTCCTCTTGGAAGCATCTCTTTTGGAGAGACTGAGYGTGGTAAAATGTAAAAGGCTGCAGCACTTCCTGTGTTAAAAAAGCTGATTTTTAATGAGCTGCTCTGTTACCATCCAAGCAGACGGGTGTTTGTGTGTGCAGCTGGGAATCTATTTCTGTGCTCCTGCAGGAGTATTYGGGCAGGTTTCTGGGCTGGGACCTCAGGGAAGTAAATCAAAACTCTGGTTAAAGACTCAAACTGTCTCCTGTGGAGCTTTAAGTCTCTTTTTATTACTGGAACGCTTTTTCACAGAACTTGAAATTCAGTATTTCTGAGGCTTTCTGAGGTGAGGGAAAGAATTATTACAATAAAGGTATAATAYCATTCTTTATTGCAGTTTTTATGCCACCCAGGTAATTTTCCTGATTTTGTTGATTGTGATTTCCCTTCCTGAAACAGATTCTGTAATTAACAGTTTKCATCTTTACATTCTTGTATCACACAGGCCAGGCTGGAKGGGGCTTRGAGCAGCCTGGACTGGTGGAAGGTGTCCCTGCCTGGTGTCAAGTTTAGCAGAGGGAGAAGGATATTTTTTYYCCTTTTTGGGAAAACATTTTTGTGGAAGGAACCAAGATCCAGCCTTTTCTTGTTTATCTTTGCTGTGGTGACAGCGCTGATGTCCCTTTTAAACTGAAACCCCCAGGCAGTGTCGGCTGTGTCCTGCTGTTCCCTTCCTGCCTTTCCAGCAGCGCCGAGGATTCCGTGGGAGCGCAGGAAGCACAAATCCATGGAAAGGCGAGAGTGAGGTGGAGCGGGATGGCCGGGGAGGAGAGCTCTGGAGCAGGATGTCGGGGAGGGTGGGGTGGAAAGGGAAGGGAAGGGACGGGGCAGATTCTCCTGCTCACGCTGCTCAAGTGCTGCAGCTSCTCAGGGAAGAAGTTAAACCCCCCTGCTCGGGGCTTTCACACTTTGAGTGAGGGAGTTGAGAGGTTTAAAAAGCGGTAAAAGCCTCTAAATCGGGATTTGTCACAAAAAGCCTGCGAGCTCCTGCTGGCTCAGAGGTGAGCCCTGAGACGCTGACCCCATCCCTGACTTTGGGTGCACTTCCTTTTCTCCCGTGTTCTCCTCCTTTTCCTGCTKGCTCAGTGATGGGGCTCTTTCCTTCCTGCCGAGGGCAAGTGAGAGGCTGTGAGTAACCGAGGGTCGGTGTGACAAGGGCACTGAACCCTGTGACAAAGCAGGGACAATCCCGGGGCAATTTCCTACCCTTGTGCAGAGATCGTGCTGCTGTAATTTGCTGTTGATCCGACCYGACTCGGAATTTACAAAACAATTGGACTTGGGGAAAACAAAAGCTCAAATGCCAAAYAGGTCCAGGTCAGGGCTGGGGGATGTTTGTAAATGTGTACAARCACAAGCTTTTGTGCTTCCACAACATGTAGGAAATGTATTTATTTTAAGCTCTGGGTTTTTTTGACCCTTAAAAGCTGGAAATGCATCCTCTGAGAGCCAAGGTTGCTTCAGGCTCTTTGGTGAGAGTAAAACGAAGCTTTGCAGTGTGTCARGGCTGAATAAAAGGAGCTGGAGTGAATTGTCTGACCTGAAGGGATGTGTCCACTGTTGGAGGGAGTCCAGAGGAGGCCACCAGGATGACACAGAGTTGAAGGCTATTTCTATACCCCTTGTAACAAGCAGACCTCATGGGCTCACAATCATTACCAGATGACTGTAATTTAATACACTGAATTTGGACAAAACTCAGCTTATTTGGTTGTGCAACTTTCTCAGTTTTAACTTCACCATCTTGCTGTAGTTCAGAACAAATCCTCTTACTTGATTTGGGATTTTTTCTCAATAAGTCATCCCAAGAACTTATTTTTAATTAATCTCCAAATATTTTACTGGATAAATCAAGCATAGGTGACCTTTTAAAGCACTACTGGGCTGACCTTACCTGTAGGAATAGAATATGGGTGTTGATTTAGTGTGGCTCATTTTTTCCAGGAAAATTTGAGTTTGAAGGCTTCTGATTATTTTTAAATCATGGATAGGATTTTTTTTTTAAATAAACATTTGTATTTTGTGTCAGCAGCACTGTCCTGTCACTCCAGACCATTGCAAATTGTTTCTCTCCATCTTTCTTATAGCTCACTTGACTGGAAGGTCACCCCAACACTTGACTTTGAAGGGACAATATTTAAGTCAGCCAGGAAGGTCTGGTAACCCCTCCTGGCCAAAACCCTGCAAGTTATATTATATTTTATTTTGGTTTTAAACTGTGTGTCAACACCTGTAAAATTGAAATGGCATGAGGAATTTTTAGAGCTCTTAACTTCTGTTCCCACTTTTCCAGTGAATTATCCATCAGCACCTCTGCTCCTGTTGCTTGGAGGYTCCTCCAGTTCTAAGGTTTGATGGTGTAAGTCACCTTTAATGCCCCATTTCATTCAATATTTTGTGGTTTTAGTGTATCAGATCAGTGCTTTTGCAGTGTCAAACATTTCCATGCAGAACAAACCCTTTGTGACCCCAGTGAAACAGAGAAGCACAGAAACTCCCAGGCACGTGAGCATTTCAGGATCCTCTTTTACTGGACTTCCCCAAATGTTGTTTTGCTTGGAAATTGGAATATATCTGCAATGACCTAATGCCAAGGAAAGTGAAAGGACATGGGTTAGAAACAGGGAGTCAATCACTGCAGGTTATCACTGTTCTTCTGACACTGGAGAGAGACWCAGCACGTTTGGCAAAACTCTTGGGATCATTTTCTTTTGATCCTGGAGCTGGTGTGGAACAGAGAAACATTTCCAGACACACAAACCCCTTCCATGCCCAGTGAGACAGCATCACCCAGAGCCAGGAATAAACATGGGCAGTAAATAATCCCTGTTAATAACCTGAAATCACCAGCCTGCCGTGTACAACTGGAACAAATGGATGTGGGAACGTGCTCAGGCCTGCTCAAAAATAAACAGCAATTCAAGCAGCCATTAGGAGTGAAATRCTGAGGGGAAGATTTGCTTTCTGGAGTGTTTTGTGCAGTCACAGGGGAGCTCAGCTGGGATGTTTGGTGGTTGGACAGCTCTTGCAGCAGTTCTGCCTCTCCAGAGAAGTTTGGGCAGATCCCTAAAAGATGAGAATCTAAAATGAAGCCTCTAAAGCACTGATCAAGGGAAATTCCTAACAGATCATGGATGTGGAGGCACAACCCCTCACCCCACAAAACTTTAATTAGTTTGAGGCTAATATTTACTTACCTGATAGCARTAAAACTCCCCTTGAATTACTGGCGTTTTGACAGTGATTTTGTAAAGATTCAGTGCCTGTCCCTGTGAAACAAGGATTGCAACAGCACCATAACTGGGGAGGTGTTTGGTTGCACAATGTTTAAAGAAGGCATTAAATATTTGCACAAYAGGGGGATGATGGCTCAGGGACTGTTTGAAATCAGGTGAGGACAGGAGAGGGGATTCTCACWGAGATTCCACAGCACTGTCTCACAAACCACCCCTCTCTCATGAGGTGCCCCTCAGACAGGAAGCACATTTTCCATGTCTTGCTCACTGGATCCTCCCCTTTGTCCCCTCCTTGTCCCCTCTTTGTGCCCTCTGCAGTGA